CTGCTTGCAGAGTCTCAAGATTTTCCAGAGGTGAGATATCAGGGCCTTCTCAGGACTTTCCTGATACCTTCGTTGAGATTCTCCAAAATGGCAATAATTTCTCAGAGTTTCACAGTTAATCAAGGGTTTTCATACATGTTATCCAATGACCTCGGCCACCCTGTGTACATTAATGACATCACTTTATGAATGTTGAAGCGCAACAATTTCAAGATTAAGTAACTTGCCAAAAACCCCAATTTCTCTAACACTGAAATCTGCACCCCTTCCACAGCACAGAACTTCCCCTAGGCTTGCAAACCGGGATGCTACAGGAGGTACGTTATGTGACCCATATGGCCTCTGCAGGGTAATCAGATTTAGATTCCTCAACTCGGCTCTTCCCCTAACTCCCATCAAGTGCCATACCTAACATGATGCTCTGCGGTCCATTACCAAATGCTATGGAGTGCACTGCCACACCGACAGGTTCAGAGATGTGGTGCCAAATGGACACTGGCTCATTTCATGCATTGATTAGGGTACTCCACCACCTACCTCCATGGCCTCTGACTCCATGCTGGGTTGATGTTGACCACTTTCACCACCAAGAAAGAAACTTGTTATTTACCATAAAAGAAGACAGAGTAGATTTTTATCCATTTTATTATACAACAAAACATACATACAGAACCACACAAATACATAGCCTAATGGACTGTTACACAGCCCACACGCTATAACTACCACCTAGGTCTAGAAATACAACTTTGTTCACCAGCTATCCCACAAGTCCTCCACGTGTGCCATCCCAATTACAACTCCCTCCCTTTCCCCCAAATTAACCACCATCCTGATTTTCATAGTCATCACTCTCTTGGATTTCTCTATAGATAGGAACACATGTATACATCCCTGGAACTAATACTTTAGTCTTGCCTTTTAAAATCTGTTTAAATTTGGTGTCTTTTAAGTCTTCCATTCCTTTTTTTCCTTTCAATTTACCTATTGATGAATCCAGGCAGTCTGACAGGTAGAACTTCCCAGTCTAGATTTTGCTACCTATACACTCAAGATGCAGCTCAGCCTGCTCCCCTGTCCCCTATCTTCCAGAAACTGGTAGTTAGATCGAAAGACTAGACCGGATTCAGGTTTCATCTCTTTAGCAAGATCATAGCTTCTGTTCTTTCATAGCAAGCATATATCTGCTTGTCTCCCCTCTGATGATGGTAGCGGCCACGCATTCTCATTGCCTAGATCCATTTCTTCACTAGGGGCTGAAAATAGTGATACTCTAATTCTATCATTTCCTTTTTCACTTATTAACTGGGAATTTCTATAAAGAGAGTTCTCTCTTATTGACTGTACGGTTACTCAGTAATATGGTTCCTATTAGGTCAGTAATGCTTGATTCTTTCTCTTAATGTTTTAGAGATAAAAATTAGTTCCTTATTACCCTCCAAAAGTGACCAGTTAGTTTTTGGTATCATTATGAACTTATGGATTGTATGAGGCATTCCAATCCATTTTAATTATCATCCTTATCAAAGCTCAAATTGTCCCATCTTCGGCTAGTAGCAGCCTCTTCAAGTTGTCTCCTGAGTCCTTTTGACACAACCCCCGTGATCTTTGACATCTTCCTTGCTAATATGACAAGATATTCCTGACTCCTCTGGTATGTTTTTTGCCTTGACTTGTGGTCAATCATTTCTTTAAAAATCCCTAGTTTGTTTTCAGTGAGAAACGGCATTTCAAAATCACATGAATTGTGAGCACTATGGCTGTGTAATTGCTGGAGTGGTCAATGTTTAGGTCTTTCACGGTTAAGGATAAAATACTTTCGTCATTTATCCTGATACTTCCAACTTAATGTCAAACTGGAGGATTTTTACTTAGCATTGTCTGTATTACCTCTGTTTCTCCTTTCTTCCATGAGTATACTGATTCTCAAGAACACAGAGGATAAGAGAATGAAACTGTCCCATGTTTGCCCATCTACTTTATCCCATATGACACACACAACAGTCTCAAAATGATACTACTCTAATACATCTCCACTAATTTGACTCCTAAAAATGGTTTAAAATTTTCTGGGCATTAACTCTCCCCACTCTCCTCCCTGTTTGAGTCATACTGTATCTTCACCATCAGAGGACAGATTCATTCTATGGTGTATTCTCTCCTTGTTAGCCCACAATTAGGATTAATTCTACCAATAATTGTATTTAACGCTCATCACCCATCCTAATGTTGATACGTCTCTAGCCATTTTGGTTGGCTGCAACTTATTCTTTACCAGATTCTGACAGAAGGGCTCAAGGGAACATTATCACCCAAGGGTTTACATGATTGATGACAGTTTATCTCTGTGTGCATTATACTTGAAATTTCATCAGTTTTAATGGATCTAGAACTCTTGGTTCATTTTCCTCCCTGAAGTATCTTAAATATGTTGCTTTCTTTTAGCATAAAGTGTTAGCAAAGTCTGCCAATACTTCCCCTTTCCTTGGCAGCCTCTTTGCCCAGATGCTCATAATTTCCTCCACCCTCTTTCATTTAGAGTCCAATAATTTTAGTAGAATGTTTCAGCGCTTGTGGTTCTAAATTCATATTCTCAGGTGTGTAATGTGTGCTCTTTTGATATAGAACTTCAGTTCTTTTATTTAAGGTAACATTTCTTAGATTATAGGTTTCTGTTTGTTCCATCCCTTTACTTTGTTACTGTTTCAAATTCAGGGACTCCTGTTATCCTTATGTTGGATCTTTTCTTCCCCCCATTTTCTTTACAACTTCTTTCTTTTCACTTTATTTTTATTTTTAGGTAATGTACACCCAACATGGTGCTCAAACTCACAACACTGAAATCAAGAACTGCGTTATCCACCAACTGTGCCGGCCAGGTGCCCCTTCCCCCATTTTCAATATTCATTATTTTCTCTTGAATCCTTTTTATTTCTTCATTATTGATTGATTTTAAAATTCTCTTCCTTGGGCACCGGGGTGACTCAGTTGGTTAAGCATCTGCCTTTGGCTCAGGTCATGATCCCAGGGTCCTGGGATCAAGTCCTGCATGGGGATCCCTGCTCAGCGGGGAATCTGCGTCCCCCTCTGCGCTGCCCCGACTTGTGCACTCTTGCTTTCTCTCTCTCAAAAATAAATAAATAAAATTAAAAAAAAATAAAAGTCTCTTCCATTAATCCAATATGTCTTAAGCTACTACCAGTTGTGCTTAATTGCTCTTAGCTGCATCTTCATTTCTGAAATGTCTTTTATTTCTAATTCTTTCCTGAGTTTTTTCACTTTGCCTCTGTTCTTTCCTATTTCATATCATTTTCTTAAATATTTACCTTGTTTTGAAATAAGATGTTCCAGTTGTTATCTGTTTTGTGGACATGTCTTTGTGGTGGGCTTCTACCATCTACAGGGATATTATTCTCCTATATATTCTCTTTTCTCACTTCACAAAAATTGTGTGGGATTTTACTTCAATCTCTTTATAATATACTTTTTTCTATGACATTAGTTTTCCTGAACTTTTAGAAGGTGTGGTTCTGACTTCATGTAGCTCCCTCTTCTGTTTTAAAGACATGCTAGCTTGATTTTTAAGGTTTCTTCATTCCATCCCCTTCCTCCAATTTTATCTAGACTTTCTCTTCCTTCATCTCTGGGTCTCTCCCCTGCTCAATTTTTATTCCACTCCTTTTATTTCTTCTAAGCAGATGGGGATCATGGGGGATATCCCTGAAGGGAACTCTGGCTGGTCAGTCTTCAGAGTTCACAAGATCCAGACTGCTTTAGGTCCTTCAGGAATTACCAGGAACCTCTTGCACTAACCCAGTACTGGACTGAACAACACCCTTCCCAATATCAAATACTGTTCATCGACAGAAGAAAAAAAATATATATATATGAAATTATAATGTATACAATACATATAATGAAATTATATATGTGTGTGTGTGTGTGTGTGTGTGTATGGATATGTTACTCAGTCATCAAAAAGAATGAAATCTTGCCATTTTTAACAATGTAGATGGAACTAGAGGGTATTATGCTAAGTGAAATAAGTCAGTCAGTGAAAGACAAATACAGTATCATTTCACTGACATGTGGAATTTAAGAAACAAAACAGATGAATATAGGGGAAGGGAAGGAAAAATAAAATAAGACAACAGGGAAGGAGACAAGCCATGAGAGACTCTTAACTACAGAACAAACTGAGGGTTGTTGGAGGGGAGGTCGATGGGGGATGGGGTAATAGGGTGATAGGCATTAAGGAGGGCCCTTGAAGTAAGGGGCACTGGGTGTTATATGCAAATGGTGAATCACTAAATACTACCTTAAATTAAGTATTTTAAGTTTACTTAAATTCTACCTTATAGACTAATAATACAGTATACGTTAATAAAAAAAATATGTTCTCATATCAGCCCATATTTTCCAACTAATATTTATTGAACATCCTCTGCTTCCTCTCCCACAGAGGCTAATACTGTGCAGTTGGGGCTCATAGTAAGGATACATTTTTAACTAGTTTTGATTTTTATGCTGCCCATGGATTCTGGTTTTGCTCCTAAGTTGCTCCACCCCCCCCCCCCGATTTTATTTATTTATTTTTAGAGGGAAAAAGAGAACATGCACCCACAGGGGTTAGGGACAGAGAGAGAGAATCCCAAGCAGACTCCCTGCCAAATGCAGAGCCTGTCACAAGGCTATCTCATGACCCTGAGATCCAGTGACCTGAGCCAAAACCGAAAGTCGGATGCTTAACTGACTGAGGCACCCAGGCACCCTCCAAGTTGCTCTTTTTTTTTTTTTAGGAGAAAATTCAGAGAGATTAAAAAACCATGTTACCACTGCTAATATTGTTACCATCTTTCCAGATTTTAGAGTATATTTTTTAAGTCCTTAGAGCTTTCCTATGGAAAATTTTCTTGAACAAAATGCCTTAAAAATCTTATAATGTTTTCACAAATAAAAAGGATGAAACAGAAGAGACTTTACTCATTTTGTCTGCTTACCTCAAAAAGTCTGAACAAGTTGTATTTTGTATTATAATCAGTCCACAAGACCACAAAAAAGGCATTCAGGGAGACGGTGCTAATCATAATTATCTTAAAGAGACGACTCATTATGACTCTCTTCACAAATGCCTGGCACTGAGTATCTCTCCTCCTGTCAAAAAGTTGAATAAGGGGTATGATTATCTTACAACAGAACTAGATCCCAAACATTACACACTTTTTGTGAGACTGGGTCCTGCTTTCTCCCCTCTGCGAATATAAATTTAAATATACTTTTAAATTGCAACACATTGCAGAACCCCTGGCTGGCTCGGTCAGTAGAGCAAGCGATTCTTGATCTCAGGGTCATGAGTTTGAGCCCCACATTGGGTGCAGAGATGACTTAAATAAATGTGTGTTTTTTTCTTAATTGCAACACAATGCTAACATTGAACTAAAATATGTATGATGACCTCTGAGTTGATCTGTTCCCACTCAGTTACTTAGTTCCTTCTCTTAAACCTTGGGGTGGGGTCGGGGGGAATGATTCCTAGTCCCTCTCAAGCAAAACAAGGCATTATCTTCATTTACTCCTTCAATAAATTTTTACTGAGTGGTTACTAATGCCAGGCAAGACAGCAGACAGCAGACACTGTGGATATAAGGAGAACAAAACTAAATATTGTCAGTCTAGTAGGAAAAACTGGTAATAATCAAATCATCACCTATATAAGGGTTTACAAATCAGTGATTAAAAAAAAAAAAACTGGACACCCTAAAAAACAGGCAAAAACAGTCACTTCATGAAACAAATTTAAAGGGTGATGAACTTCCCCCAAAATGTTCAGTAGCATTGCTAACGGGGAAGGGAGGTTGCAAATTAGGTCCAGCCATTATTTTGGCTTATAAAATTAGCAAAGATTTAAATGTCATAGCATCTAATGTTGGCAGTCGTGTGGTGTGATGAGGTGTTCTCATAAACTGCCAGGGGGCGTGGAAATCGGCCGGCCCCTCTGAAAAGCCTTAGAACTATTTTTAACCTCTGATCCAAGGAACCTACCCCAAGAGAATGCAATCTGGAATGAAGTGGCTTTGGCCAAACATGTTCATCCCAGCTTTACTTACAGTAGGAAGAACCTGGAAACAGTTTAAAAGTCTAACAAGAAAGACTGGTTAAGTACAGATGGCCATCCACCTCATGGAATCTTACATAGATACCGAAAAATGCCTACGACTTTTTCATGGTTTAACAAAATGTTTATGCTCCACCGGATAGCAAAAGACAAAAACAAAATAAGATACCAAATTCTCTACTCAGTATTATTTCAACTGTGCAAAAACAGGTGAAAAAAACGGAGCAGGACACTGGCCAAATGCTGACAGGGTCTGCCTATGATGGCAAGCTTACAGTAAATCTTTTCCTTGGTTATTATATTTATCTATGTTTTCCAATTTTTCTCAAAAAGTATGTATTATTTTTCCCCACTATATGTAACAAATGGACACACTTCTCCTAACAGTAAATAAATACAGAACGCATATACTTTCATAATCTAAAAAACAAGATGTACAGTTTTCATCATCTGTTTTGAGGTGAGGTCAATTACCTTCAAATTTTCTTTTTTTTTATTTATTTATTTGACAGAAAGAGAGAGATCACAAGTAGGCAGAGAGGCAGGCAGAGAGAGAGGGGCATGCAGGATCCTCACTGAGCAGAGAGCCCGATGTGGGGCTTGATCCCACGACCCTGAGATCATGCATGACCTGAGTCGAAGGCAGAGGCTTTAACCCACTGAGCCACCCAGGCGCCCCTCCTTCAAATTTTCTAACACAGTAGCTAATAAAAACAAAGTAAGAAGGACAAAAAGATAAAAGGACTAAACAGAGTCAAATTCAGTGTAAGACCGTGACTGAACACTGACTTAACTAACCAGTCACGATATTAAAGCCAAAGAAGCAAACTGTTTGGCTGAGCCTTCACCAACCTCCCCAGTGAGAGCACAGGGGTGAGTGTACCCAGAAGCTAAGAGTATACTGGCACCCTGCTCCCAAGCTGCCATCTGCTCATTTCTTAACAAGCAATAGAAATAAAGAATATTTACTGAAATTTCCTGAATCTTGCACAGAATTCTGCTGAAGGATTATCCAACAGCGAGCTCGAAATGACTCTTGTATCGTTCTGGTAATGAAACTGTTGAGACATTTTCCAAATTCCCAATCTTTATTCCTTGCTTTGATCATCCAAACAGAAAATCTCTGCTTAGGGATTTCCTTGGCATCTAGATTCCAAGAGGCCACAGACCAGGGCCCACAAAAGGAACTCCCACTTTATGATGTCATTCTTGGGCGTTATAGTGCGTTACTAGCCTGCAGGTCCCCAGAGTCAAATACTTCCTGTGCTGAGATCCTGTCTTCCCAGGGAGACTGTGCATCTCAGATCAGCGAAAGGGATACAAGTACACAGGAACTGTGAAGCTCCAAGCTGAATCTGGGAGATACCAGAGCTAGAGCAGAAAAAAGTCATTTCTCTCTCAAGAAGAATCCACATCTGGGGGACACCTGGGTGGCTCAGTTGGTTAGGTGTGTGCCTTTGGCTCAGGTCATGATCTCTGGGTCCTGGGATCGAGCCCCGCATTGGGCTTCCTGCTTGGTAAAGAGTCTGCTTCTCTCTCTGTCTCTCCCTCTGCCCCTCCCCACTGCTCATTCTCTCCCTTTCTCAAATAACAAATAATATCTTAAAAAAAAAAAAAGAAGTATCCACAAAACCTCTTAATAATGTGTTAAGACTAAGTTAAGCATCATATAAGAGGAAAAAGCAAAGTATTCTGGGGTTCTAAGAGCCAAGAGCATACATTTGGGCACAGGACCAGAAACATCAGGATAGACAGAAAAGATGTTGATAGGTTTGGGGCTAGAACACAAGAAAAAGGAGGAAAAGAGAAGGTCATCCACTCCCAGCCCTACCTTATGGGAAGCCCATAATGTGTATATATGACCCTCCTGAACAGAGCATAGGGGATGAGCCTGTGGGGCCAAGATATTTTAAGTACAAGAGCCATAGGGTTTTTGCTCTGTTCAGTTCTTGGGATTAACATATTCTCTTTGCTTTCCTTCTTCTAATCCCTTTGGCTTCCAAGGCAAATCTAGACAGAGGGATCTGGATAGCCCTCCATTGTATTAAACCTTTAGTGGCTAAACTAGTCACATTCCTGGAAACATAAATTCTTGAGCTCTAAGAAAAGCGAGTAACCACCAAAATAGCTCTGTAGTCCCAGGCATTCTAGAATAAGTGTATGTTATTACTCCTGGTAGGAAAACACTCTTGTAGGCAACCAATACACTAAACTGGGAAACAATATCCTATTTATTCAATTTCTGCGTTTAAAATCATCAACAGTAAAACATTAAGAATCACTTCAACTCATAGCCCCAAGATTCAAACTTTAGCCTCATCGTCCCACTTTACATTCTGTCCCCCAGGGATCAGCTTCTCCTGTACCTCCTACTGCCTCCTTTGGTCATATGGGCCCTAATGCCTCCTGGGCTCATGCCCAACATCCCCACAGCAGACTCCTGGAGCAGCTGCTGGAAGAAAGCCTGAATTAGTCCTTCACCTGAATCTGGTTCCACCTGCCCCAGTACATCAGTGTCTACTCAAGTTAGGGGGGACACAGAAGGCCCTTGGTGGGTGTATGCTGTAGAATTATACAAATGAATGGCACTAGGGACCCTTATGCTCGCTGAGCATGGTGGGAGTCCATCTCCGGGAACCCCAATGGTCTACTTCTATGCCTTCCCTCATGGAGCATCAAGGCACTCTTTGGGGGAGAAATAGAAGATTAAGGATGTAAAGAATTCTTTCACGATGCTTGGAGGGGTGAGGAAAGATGGCCAGCTGGAAGCAGCAGAGAGAAGTCCGGTTGTTGTTAGAATACCCCATGAGCACAGCTAAGCACAGCTGAATGTGGTTTCTGAAGTCACTGATGAACACATCAGTCTGGGAATGGAACTCCAGCTGTGAGCACAATCAGATGTGATAAGCTTCTCCAGGACCTACTGAAATCATCCATCTTTTCTCACAGACAGGTGGACACAACAGGCACCCTGCGATAAGAAGCCAAAGGGGGCACTTCCTCTGCCCTTTCAGCAGCAACTCACACTGTGCTCACTGTGGGTGCCACCAGCCCAGCCCAGCCGCACACAGAGGGGGACATCAGCAGTCAGCCGGCATGGCAGTTTGGTGACTCAAGTCTTCGGCTAAGAGTCATGCCTTTACTTGTCCCAAGAACTGGCACTGGAACAGAAACCTCACATATTATAGCCAAACCCTCATACAGCTCTTGGTGTTTTGCAGGAAATTCCACAAAATTGAAAGTCCTAGAGTTCAACCGGTCTATTTTTGAACTGGGTGAGAGAGCTTACAGACCACTGCGTACTTCCACCAGTCCTGCAGGACAGTAATGGAGTCAGTTTGGGTTCAAACACAATATACATGCTGTTGCTTTCGGTCTAGAGCAAAAACATCAAGAACCATGCTTATTCTGTTTATCCAAAGATTTCCTTATTCCTATCAAAGTAATCATTACTTTTACAATGTTAACTTCAATCTAGAAAAGGGAACTGTCAAACATGCCGGCAACCTGGTTTGTTACCCAGGAAGGTCTTCCAAGGGGTCATAGTTTATGTCTATGGAACATAGTTCATGTCTATGGAACTCCTCTCTCCTCCAGAGTTTCTTTAGAAAGAAAATAAAGGGAAACCGAAGCTTACTGCATCAGAAAAACCACTGCCATCGCACAAAGATTTGGAATAGAAAAGAACCTGGGAGCCTCCAACTTTGACAATGTCTTTTGAGGCTGAAACGTCAGTTACTTGAACAGAGTCTGGAAGTTCATTCTGTTGGAATTTAGCCCAGTTAGTACTTCCACAGCCTTCTACTGCGGGGGCTCTGGTGGTCTACAGTCAGGTCTGTGAGTTCCAGCAGATGCAACAACCCTTAACAAAGACCTTATGTCAAACCCTCATGTAGTTGCTAATTAGTAAATGCATTCTCGGGTCTTCACCACTGCAATTACAAGCCAAATCCTGCTCTTTCTGCTGCACTAATATGTGGTGTATGTCCCAGTCAAGCTGAGCCCCTCATGCTTACATTCAAAATAAGGGGAAAGGTTTCAGGGTACAGTGAAACAAGGTCAGTGACACCAAAGGGAACAAACAAGTCTGGAAGGTGGGATATTCTACAGGACACCTGATCCTGTTTTTACAGTAAGTCAATGACGTGGGGGAAAGGGAGGAAGAAAGGGGAGCTTGCTCATTCTAGACTGAACGAACAAAGAGACTAGACGTGATGGGTGGACTTCATGTGGATCCTGATTAGAACAAAAATACTGTCCAGATGCATTCCTGACCTTCAAGAAAATCTGATTTTACCTGGGTGTTAGGTGATACCAAGGAATCATGGTTGATTTTGTTAGGTGAAATAATGGCATTATGGTTTATACAAGAAAATGACCGTATTTTCTAAAGATATTTACTGAGGGATGTAGGGATAAAAGGACATGCTATCTAGGATTTTAAATGTTAAAGCTATTTTGCAGCTTTTAAATGCTTTAGCAAAGAAAAGAGAAATGGAGACTTCTGTGAAGTAACTGATGTAAAATCTTGATAATTGTTAAATCTGAGTACATAATGGTTCAATGTACTATTCACTTTATTTTTAAATATGTTTAAGTTTGTTCGTGTTTAAAAATTCATGTGAGGGGGGCCTGGGTGGCTCAGCTGGTTAACTGGCTACCTTCGGCTCAGGTCATGATCTCAGGGTCCTGCAATCAAGTTCCAAGTCAGGTTCCCTGCTCAGCACAGAGCCTGCTTCTACCTCTCCCTCTGCCCCTCCTCACAGCTCATGCTCGCTCTCTCTCTCTCAAATAAAGAAAATCTTTACAAAAATAAAATAATAGGGACACCTGGGTGGCTCAGTTGGTTAAGCAGCTGCCTTCGGCTCAGATCATGATCCCAGCTCAGGTCATTGAGTCCCACATCGGGCTCCTTGCTCAGCAGGGAGCCTGCTTCTCCCTCTGCCTCTGCCTGCCTCTCTGCCTGTGCTTGCTCTCTCTCTCTCTCTCTGACAAATAAATAAATAAAATCTTTTAAAATAATAATAAAAAAATAAAAATTCATGTGAAAAAATTAAAGCACTGAACTAAAAATCTCTGGTAAATAAAATGTATAAATGTCCCCAAATCTATAATATAGGAAAGAGTTTATAAAAACACGAGGCAGGGCACCTGGCTGGCTCTGTTGGAAGAACATAGGACTCTTGATATCAGGGTTTTGAGTTGGAGCCCCAAGTTGGGTGCAGAGATTTCTTAAAAAAAAAAAAAAAAAAAAAAAAAAGTTTTGCCTTTTCCTCTAAACAAATTTCTAAGAAGCAGCAATGACGCATCTCCTGGCAGCCACAGAACCTGGGTGGCTCTTGTCCCTCTTCAAATGGAGGGTGTGCTCCATATCCACAGGGCAAACTGAGAGGACCTGTCTCTCCCCAGCCAACAGACCCAGCCAAGAACCGGCTTCGGAGGGCACCTGGGTGGCTCAGTGGGTTAAGGCCTCTGCCTTCAGCTCAGGTCATGATCTCAGGGTCCTGGGATCGAGGCCCGCATCAGGCTCTCTGCTCAGCAGGGAGCCTGCTTCCCCCTTTCTCTCTGCCCGCCTCTCTGCCTGCTTGTGATCTCTCTCTGTCAAATAAATAAATAAAATCTTTTT